CCAGCTACTTGGAAGGCTGAGGCGGAAGGCTCGCCGGAGCCCAGCAGGTTGAGGCTACGGTGGCCGGGAGCGGCCACTGCACTCCAGTCTGGGTGACAGAGTGAGACTCCAGCTCAAAAAACAAAAACAAACAAACAAAAAACAGTAAACATCCCTCTGCTCTAACTAGGTCTATGGGAGCCAAACAGACACTCCAGGGTCATTGGTCAGTCAGGTGATGAATGAACTTGGCCTCTGGGGGCTCAGCCCTGTGGAGAGCTAAGGGCTGCACACTTTCTTTGCCGAGCTGGTCCACAGTTTGTCTAGAGAATGCCCAAGGGGCCCAGTGAGGTAGACAATTAAAAGCCAGAGCTCATTCTGATATCTGAAAACCACAGCCGCCCACGCGTGGGAGGGACTTGGGAGCAGGCTGGGGTCCTGCACACATGGCCCCACCCACAGCCCCCCCCAGGTCACCTGAGAGTGCCAGCAGCAATTTGGAAATTTGCTGAGTTTGAGGAGAAGTCTTCGGGGAGGGCTGGCTCTGAGCACACCCCTTTCCCTCCCCCGGGACTGAGGGAAACATGGGACCAGCCCTGCCCCAGCCTGTCCCCATTGGCTGGCATGAGGCAGAGGGGGCTTTAAAAAGGCAACCGTGTCTGGGCTGGGGACCAGAGCCGGTGCTACTGGAGGCTGTGTGTCCTGCTCTGGCTGGCACCATGCAGCTCTCTCTAGCCCTGTGTCTCGTCTGCCTGCTGGTACATGCGGCCTTCCGGGTGGTGGAGGGCCAGGGGTGGCAGAGCTTCAAGAATGATGCCACAGAAATCATCCCTGAGCTCGGCGACTTCCCCGAGCCTCCACCGGAACCCGAGAACAACAAGACCATGAACCGGGCGGAGAACGGAGGGCGGCCTCCCCACCACCCCTTTGAGACCAAAGGTACGGGGTGCACGAGACATTTTAGCATGAGGGTCCCCATGGAAGTCTTCTCTTTAGAAGTCTGGGGTGGATGTCCGGAGGAATGGGCTTGTCTGGAGGTGCAGGCTTTAGAGCACAGGCCACGAGGTCACAAGGGGTCGGGGAAAGCCCGGGACAGGGAGGAGGCTGAGGTGCTGGGGGTGCAGCATTGGGGTAGGCTCGGGGCCCAGAAAAAAAAGGTTCCAGAGCCTTGTCCTGAGAATCTGAGAGCCGAATCCACCTGCTGCCACCACTGGGCAGGAGACAAGGCGACAGAGCCCTCTACCCATGGGTGCCAGACCCTCTCTGTGGGCTGTGACTCACCTACCCCACAGACCCACCTCATGAGAGTCCTGTGAGGTGAACCCCCAACTTGAAGATGAAGAAACTGAGGCTCTGGGGACTGAGGGACTCAGAAGTGAGAAGAGCTGAGATCTGAACCCAGTTTGGTCCAGTGGCAAGACAATCCTGGAGGGGTGTTGGGGACTGAGATCCCGGCACAGCAGTGGGACAGGGGAGCCGGCGCCCCCCTGCAGTGCCCTGTGCCCCCGGCTGGCCCAGGGAGCCCGCACTTGAAGGAATGGGAGTGGTGGCTCCAGTTTTAGCCCCATCTATGGTGCAGCTGGTCCCAGGCCTTAGAGGGGCCACAGCATCCTCTGTGTGGAGGGTGGGGGGCATAGGTGGCACCATGTGCCCTGAGCCCCACCCCAGGCCAGCCAGGCCTCATTCCTGAGGTTGGGGGAGAAGGCAGGGGGTTCCCAGGTTCCTGGTCAGGCCTGCACAGGGAATCCTGGGGGCGACATGCACAGCTGGCTCACAGCTGGCAGAAATGGCAGGGTGAGCATGGGGGCTGAGTAAGGGCCTCGTGCCCTCTGGCCATTATCCAGTGGGAGAGAAGCCCACTGCCCGGGCTCCTGCCTCCCGCCCCCTCTTGCTTCCCCACCTACTGGGGATATGGGGTGCTGAAAATGGCCCCCCGGAGAAGGCCAACCAGGACACTGGGTCTTCAAAGTGGGAGGGCAAGGGCCCCCCCTCCCACATTCCCCCTGGAAAGCCAACTGAGCCGAGTGACTGCAGAGAACCCGAAGACGAGGTGTCCACCTCGCGGGCTTCCCGTGAAAGGCCACGGCCCCCAAGGAAGCCACACGCTCAAAACAAAGTCACGGTCTGCAGAGGAAGTGCCTGACCAAGGGCACTATTCTTGGAAAGCCCAAACACCTCCTTCCCTGGGCAGATAGGCCACCCCCACACTCCGCCCCTGCAGGGCGAGGATGCCAAGCCCAGACACCAGAAAGCAGCCACAGGAGGATGAAAGGCTCCGCGTCTCGCCCACTGGGCTCGCTCCCTGGGGTGGGACCCAGAGGTGGGGGTGGGCCTTCTCTGCCCTTCTCTGGGTTTCGTCTTAAGACTGTTTTTTCTCCTCCTGTCCCATGAAACCTTTGAGGGTAGACAGGTGCTCCCGAGAGGACTAGCTTACAGTACATAACAAGGTCAAGTATGCGGGAGACCAGGCCAGGCCTTAGAACCCAATCTCCCTGCACTCGGGGAGCGAGCTTGTGGCACCACCAGGTGCCCATTCAAGTGACATGGATGAGGTGAGCCTGGTACACAGTGGGTGCTTAATAAATGTTCGTGGCAGCTGATTTTGGATCAGAGTTCAGTCCCCTCTGGCAGGAAAGTAGCTGTAGTGAAAAACAGCCCTCCCCCCTCCCCCCAGCCCAGCCTCCCAGGTAGCTTGCACCCTGTGGGAGCCGAAAGGTGCCAGGGCTCCCAGGAGGTGGAGTCAGGAGACCCAGCTCTGCCTCTTGGTCGAGGTCTTTCCTCCCTCTGGGCTTCAGTGTCCTCACGGATAATAAGGGGCTTGGCCACACCGCCTCTGGCTCCTTTCTAGTGGAATGAGTTCCTGTCCTGACCACCTCCCCTCCTTCCCTCGCCTCCACAGCCCGCTCTGATTTACTACGTTCAATTAACCTCTGCTCCTCTCTCCATCTCCCTCCACCCCTCTGAGTAGCTGGGAAAGGAATCTGGGAAAGGCCAGAGCCAGGCAGAAGGTGTGGCTAGGCCCTGTCCTGCCCAGGTCGCGGACCCTACGCAGACGTGTAGCTTAAATCCGAAGAGAACCCCTGGGACAGGAATAATAACAATCCCCAGGACCAGCTGACACTTCGGCTCTAGGTCCAAGTGGCATTCTCTGCGTGATAGGGGTCGCGGGTGAACTCACTGGATCCCGGGGCAACCTATTTGACAGCCTGGAAGAGAGAGGCGAGATAACTTGGTCAAGATGACCCCGGGTTTGGTGGAGCCCTGATGCCAGGACCGCAGCGCTTGCCGCCGTGCTGGCCGGGCGAGAGGGGGCGGGTCGCCGCGGGGGTGGTGGGGGTCCGGGCGGGGCACCGGGGCCGGCCAGGCCACCGCCCTCACGCGCGCCTCTCTCCGCAGACGCGACCGAGTACAGCTGCCGCGAGCTGCACTTCACGCGCCACGTGACGGACGGGCCGTGCCGCAGCGCCAAGCCGGTCACCGAGCTGGTGTGCTCCGGCCAGTGCGGCCCGGCGCGCCTGCTGCCCAACGCCATCGGCCGCGGCAAGTGGTGGCGCCCGAGCGGCCCCGACGTCCGCTGCATCCCCGACCGCTACCGCGCGCAGCGGGTGCAGCTGCTGTGCCCCGGGGCCGCGGCGCCGCGCGCGCGCAAGGTGCGCCTGGTGGCCTCGTGCAAGTGCAAGCGCCGCAGCCGCTTCCACAACCAGTCGGAGCTCAAGGACTTCGGGCCCGAGGCCGCGCGGTCGCAGAAGGGGCGGAAGCCGCGGCC